GGATTTGGTAGAGGAATCTGGCCCTACGAAGGGCCGCAGTTCCATCCTAACGCGGACCCGCGCAAGGACCAGGAGAACCGAGAACTGTTTCAGGAAACGGTGGAAGTTGTTCGGAAGATATGGTCGGAAGAGTTCTTCTCACACCAAGGCACCAACTACAGGTTCCCCGTTCCGGATACCGTATTCTCCCATCCGTCCTACCCGCCCGACCCATACTGGCATGAGGACGGGCGAGTAACCCGGCTGCGTGTAACGCCCCGACCTTTCCAGAAGCCCCATCCTCCCCTCTGGATGACCGTATCCACTGATCGATCAGTGGCGACTGCCGCCGAAATGGGTCTGAAGGCCTGTTATTGGCAACCGCCGCCGCTTCGCTTGCGGGAGCGGATGAAACTCTATGCTGAGGTCAGGTCGGAGGTCGAGGGGCGTCCCTTCAGCCTGGGGGAAGACCAGGCGGTAATGCGTTCTACTTACGTTGCCGCTTCAATGGAAGAGGCCCGGCGGGAGGCCGAGGCGGGAATCATGTCCGCATACATATTTAACGATCCCTTTCGGGGGAAGCAGGTATTTACCAACCCCGGGGAAGAATTGGATGCCGAAGTGAAGCTGGATTGGGATTTCCTGGAACCGCGCACGTTGTTGGTGGGATCTCCAGACGATGTCGCCGAAAAGATACAGGAATTGCAGGAAGTGTGTAACCTGGACTACCTGCTGGTGGAGTTTGCGCACTCGGGAATCTCCTTGAAGAAAACCCTGCAAAATCTGGAGAACTTTGGGACCAAAGTTATGCCGCGATTCAATGGTAAGAGTAGAATCCCAGAAAGCCGGGCTCCTTTGTGCCTTGTTTGCCGGCTCACGCTTTCTTTGTCCGCTCATTTGCTACAATGCTTTAGCAAGGTAGACTAATGATTAATTCGATGCTGGGGAGATAGTTACAATATGGCCGGTCAGCGTTTGTTAGCTTGTTTCGCCCACCCTGACGACGAGGCATTTCCCGTGGGTGGGGCCCTGGCGGCCCACGCTTCCCGCGGAGTACAGATTCGCTTGATTACGGCCACGTTGGGCGAGGAGGGCGAGATCCGTCAGAGTGGGTCTGCCACACGAGACACCCTGGGATCGGTGCGGCGGGTTGAACTGGCGAGGGCAGTGCGCATTTTGGGTCTGGATGACCACATCGTCCTGCACTATCGGGATTCGGGAATGGTGGGAACGCCTCCCAATGAGCATCCTCAAGCCTTTGTCAATGCTCCCGCGGAAGTGGTGATTGAACGGCTGGTTGAGGAGATTCGACGCTTCCGGCCACAAGTGGTGCTTACTTTCGACCCGGCGGGCCTTTACGGGCATCCGGACCACATTGCCATATACCAGCACACCACTGAGGCCTTCAAACGGGCCGCCGACCCCACGGCATATCCACAGCATCTGATTAACGGAGTGGAGCCCCACGCTCCACAGCGGCTCTATTACAGCGCACGCCCTAGAGGGTTCAGAATGGAATGGGCCCAGACCTTGCGGTCCTACGGGATTGACTTTCCGCTGCCTGACCCAAATCGGGCCAATGATGGGGCTCCGCCGGAGACATCAGTCGAAGTGATGTGTGCTCTAGCCCAGATGGAAGTCAAGATGGGTTGCATCCTCAGCCACAGGACACAGGTGGCCCCTGACTGGCCCTATGACCGGGTGCCACGAGAGGCCGCCAACAAGATATTGGGACGGGAGTACTACATTCGTGGATGGCCTCCAGTAACGAACGATGAGACGGTCTCCCCCGACTTTTTTGCGGCCTTGTCTGAGGAAGACTAGCGACAGGGGATAGGGCTGAAAATGGCAATTGTGGTAAAGGCAAAAAACTCAGGGGTGGTTGTCTGAACCGCCCCTGAGTTTTTGATGGCACTGGTTGGCCCGTCGGTTTATAGCAGCTGACCTAACGTAACCTAGGCGCGACTTCCTGGGCATACAGTCTGACCGAATTGAGCACCTGTTCCACAGTCAGTCCGCCGCCCACGTTGGGTTCCATTATGATACCGTCCAGCCCCAACTTATCGTTGAGTTCAGTAAGTTTTTCCACGACCGTATCGGGGCTGCCGTAAGCCAGCCGATCTTTAAGCAGGTCATCGTAAGTGACGTTTGCCAGGCGATCCGCTCGTTCCTGGCGTTCTTCGGACAGCGTTGTGCCGGCCGCGCCGGCGGTGGTCCCAAAGAGGCCACCCAAACGGCGATAGGAACGCATGGTGCTTTCCTCAGGTTCCGAACGTCCGCGGTCGTCGGTTTCAGCCACATAGATTGGGACCCGCAAAAAGACTTCTCCCTTTCCTTCGATCCCTGCCTCTTCCCGAGACTGGTGGTACATCTCCATATGCTCGGCAACTTCGTTGACGTCAAACCCGCGTAGGCCGGAAATGACGTTGTGGCCGCTGCGTCCTACCTGGGGGAATGTATCCCTTGTTGTAGCCGCAATTCGGATCGGAGGGTGGGGCTTTTGATAAGGCTTGGGTAGGACGCAAAGTTCGTTAAAACTGAAGAACTCACCTTCGTGGGAAAAGCTGCCCTCAGCCCAGGCCTTCAAAATCACATCCAGTGACTCTTGAAATCGGGCACGGCTTTCGGCGTATGGGATGCCGTAGCCGTCGTAGGAACGGGGGAAGCCGCTCCGTCCCACGCCAAATTCCAGTCTACCCTGACTTACCTGGTCTACCGTGGCAGCTTCCTCAGCAAGCCGTACGGGATGGCATAAAGGCAGCACGCTGACTCCGGTCCCAATTCTGACCTGCTTGGTACGACCGGCGATGGCACTGGCCATTACCAGGGGTACGGAGACCACCGACGGAATTCCCGCGCCCATCGGGTCGCCCGGCCTCCTTGGCGCGGCAAAGTGGCGTTCCGCCAACCAAACGCCGTCCAGGCCAAATTCGTCAGCGGTGTCAGCCATAGCAAAGGCCTCTTCAAAGGCCTCCTCCTGGGTTACTCCCGTTCGGTAGTCACATTCCATTACCAGTCCTACGTGCATCGCATCTTCCTCATACTTGATATACTTTAGGGACCGGCCAAGACAGATCTGTTTCCATAATCGTTGGTTGGGTCTCTTTACAGCGAACAGTAGTGCCCGCCTTCGTCTCCCAGATTTACGGTCAGTGTTAAAAGTGAACTTGCCAGGGATTTGTGAAGAAGCTTCGCAAGCCCTCTTGTAGTCAAACAGTGAAAGATTGATAGTTCAAGTAACAGCCCATCCGTCATTCATGCGATAACCGGACTGACGAGCAATTCTGAAGGGCTTTACTCGTCATTTCAAGAATGGTGGATTATCAGCATGGGAGGCCTTCCAGTCCAGGTATTCAAGTGCAGTTGAAATACCGATCCTTACTGCTCGAGATACACCGCCGGGGTTGCCAGGAACTTGGTGCGGCAGTCCAGCCCGCAAAAGTAGTACCACTGACCGTTATGAAAGCTGCGGGTCCCCTGCTGGGGATCGACTTCTGAGGCCCCGTGCATGGTCTGCCCAGTCTGGGCCCGGGCTTCAGCCTCATCTATTTCCATTCCACATACCGGGTCTTTAGCCATATTCTTTATCTCCTGAATTGAGCAGGTGGCGGAGATTCCGACCGGCCTCTATCCTCTAGGCCGGAACTTCCAGATTCATTCCCAACCTTACGTCTCCCGGCTGGTCCAACAGCGCCCGGGCAATCCTGGCGCGGTGTTCAAAACTGGTCCCGAGGCGCATGGTCCACGTGGTGACCCGACGGTACCAAAGGTGAAGGTCAAACTCCATCATGAATCCCATACCGCCGTGCAGGACCTGAGAGGACCTAACCACTGCCTCACATTTGTCGTTGCAAAAGGCCTTGGCCTGAGAAACCTCGACCGAAGCCGGCAAGCCTTGGTCCATCTTCCAGAGCGCTTCATAGGTCAACAACTGGCCCCCGTCAACCCACAAAATCATGTCGGCGCAAATGTGCTGTATGGACTGGAAGGAAGCGATGGGACGACCGAAAGCTACGCGGTTCTTGGCATAGTCAATGCCCATTTCCGCGTCCTTGCGAGCAGCGCCCACAATCTGCGCGCACAACAGCGCGGTGCCCCGGTCCAGCATACGCCGCGCTATGGGCCAACCCTCGTTTAGTTCGCCAACAAGGTTGTCCTTCGAAACGCGGACGCCGTCGAAGGTGACCTTGCTTTGCTTGTCCTTAGCCAAGGTGGTCAGGGAAATCTGGGACACGCCCCTCGCAGTAGTATCGACCAACAGCAGGGAGATCCCTGCGCTGGCATCGCTGGCCGGAGCGGTCCGGCAGGCGACAAGGCATTTCTCGGAGGCGGTGAAATTGTCCACGAACATCTTGGTGCCGTTAAGGACAAAATCGTCGCCGTCCTCCACCGCCTGGCAGTGAATCGTTTCGGGAAGGAGCCGGGGGTTTTCTTCGTTGAAAGCCCAGGAGAGTACCAGACTGCCCTGGCTCACGCGGGTCAAGATGGTCTGTTTTTGGCTGTCGCTCCCAGCCTCAGCAATGGTTAACGCTGCGACCATAGTCGAGTGGAAGGGGACAGGGCTAATGGCCCGGCCCAGTTCTTCCGAAATAAGGCCAAGGTAGGTGAGAGGCAGCCCTTGACCACCGTACTGTTCAGGTAGAGAAATACCCAGCCAGCCCAGGTCGGCCATCTGCTGCCACAGTTCAGGCGGGTAGCCCAAGTCGTCCTTTTCCATGTCCCTGGCCAGGCGCGGTGGGCACTCCGCTTCCAGAAACTCCCTGGCCAGGTTTTTTACCATTTGTTCTTCTTCGTTAGGCAGTACGTCCATAGGTTTCCTTTACGTTTAACTTTGAGTCCTAGAGTAAATGCCCAGAGTGGGCGGCGATCCCTGGCAACTAACCTCTGGGCATCCCCAGGCCACGCCGGGCAATCTGGTCCCGCATGACCTGGGTGCTGCCGTGGTTAATGCCGGACTGGAAAGCGCCCATCAGGTTGTGGGCGAATACGCCCTCCTCGATGGCATCTTCAGAGCCGTTCAGCAACTGAGCATAGGGCCCGAGGATTTGCGAAATTGTTTCAGTGGTTTTCACGCCGTGCTCTGGGGCGAATACCTTCTCCGCTGAACCCTCGTAGGTGAAATTTCCGCCCTGCTCCACCAGCGACATGCTGCGCATGGTCATCAGGCGGCATACCTGGGCCTCTATCCAAAGCTCAGCGATCCGGTCTCGGACTGATGAGTCCTCGGCCAGGTCAAGCCCGCCCAGTTCGTTCCCCTTAACAAAGTTAACTATATCCTCGTCACGCCGCACCGAAATCAGGTAGCGACTGGCGCCCACCCGGTCGAGATTCAGGCCCATGGCACCAACGTACCAACCCATATTTTCTTCGCCCAGCAGGCAGGATGCGGGGACCCGGACGTCCTCAAAGAAGACCTCGTTGGTGCGGTTGTCTCCGTAGGTTGTTCCTGCCGGGGCCGGCGGGTCGTTCTGGATAGTCCAAAGGGGCCGAACGGTTATTCCCGGGGTATCCATGGAAAAGACGAAAATAGATATGCCCCGGTGCTTGGGGGCATCAGGGTCGGTCCGAGCCATCAGGTAAATATGGCTGGCATAGTGGGCTGCGGTGGTGAACATCTTTTGGCCGTTGATTACGTACTCATCGCCATCCCGCACAGCGCGACATTGCAGGCTTGCCAGGTCCGCGCCAGCCTGCGGTTCAGTGAAAACCCAGGGCAAAGGAGATTTCGCCCCGGATCATACCGGGAAGGTAATACTGCTTCTGCTCTTCGGTGCCAGCGGCCAGGATGGCGGGAGCACCGCTACCGGCGCCTCCGACAGTGATACCGGCCCGGGCAAATTCTTCCTCAACAATATACTGGTCGATACGACTTCCGTTCTGACCGCCGTATTCCTTCGGCCAGCTAATGCCGACCCACCCTCTTTCCCCAAGCTGGCGATACATTTCGCGAACTTTAGGGCCACGGTGGCGGATGCCCAATTCCTCAATTTCCTGACGAACTTCGTAGGTGACGTTTTCCTGAATGAAAGTCTGTACGTCTTTCCGTAAAGTTTCTTGTTCCGGAGTGTATGCAAACTCCATACTTTACCCCTATCAAAAATCACGGCCGCAGCCGAGATCAAATACCTTTGGTGGCCAGTGGTACAGCACGGTCGCATCCGTGCCCGGGGAAGGTGTCGATTCCAATGTCTATAGTCACGGGTATTATATTACGCCGCTATTGGAGTGTCATCCGCTATCGCAAACACTGCAATGGCTTGCCGAGATTGATCTTCGGTCTACTCAGACCCAGCCAGAATGGGCTGCAGAGCGTCGACCAGCGCTGGGAGGTACTCCTTCCAGTCACCAACTATGCCTACATCCGCTGCCTTGAATATGGGGTGCCGGCGGTTGCTGTTGACTGCAATTATCACTCCGGCTTTCTGGATTCCCACAGTGTGGTCGAAAACGCCGCGGATGCCGACGGCCAGGTAAACGCGAGGGGCAATGGCGCGCCCGCTGATGCCCACCTGGACCTGATGGGGCAGCCAACCAGCATGGACGACGTTGCGCGTGGTGGCCACAGTGGCGCCGATCCGGGACGCCAGGGCGTTGACCTCGGGCAGACTTTCGGGACCACCAATTCCCATGCCAGCCCCCAGGACGATTTCCGCTTGAGCCAGCGCAATTCCGCCTGGATCTCTTCGTTATGGGTTTCCAGTACGTTGATGTCGGCTCCCACGAAGTTCGGACTGGCCAGAGCTTCAACGGTGGCGGTGGCGCAGTAGTCAGGCTCAATGGGAGTCAGCAAGCCCGGACGCAAGGTGACAAGGTTGGGCAAGGTCTTGGAAAGAATGGGGGCGACCACATTTCCGCCAAGGGCAGGCTTCAACTGCACCAGCCTTCCAGCTTCGTCAATTTCGAGGTCAACTGCATCGCCGGTTAGACCCAGCCCCAAATTTGCGGCTATCCGTGAAGCCAGGTCTCGACCGTCGGCGGTGGCAGCGAACAGGACGGCATAGGGTCTTTCAGCGCTCATGGCCTTAGCCAGGGCGTTGCTTACGCCCCGGCCGCAAACAGGCCCGAGAGAGGAGTTGTCCAAAGTCAGTACCCGGTCTGCGCCGTATGCTGCAAGGGCATCCAGTGATTCGTCACTGGGGGTACCAATCAGCACCGCAACAACCTGACTCCGAGTGGTGGCGGTCAACTGCCTTGCCTTGCCCAGCAGTTCCAGGGTTACTCGCCGCAGTCCCGTTTGAGACGTTTCGGCGACTACCCAAATGGCCTGCTCCCGGGCGTCGGGAAAGCGTTCAGTACTGACTGGGTCAGAGGAAACTTCGCCCTCACTTGCCAGAGTTGACAGGCTGTCCTTGAGCAATTGGGCGACCTGCTGGGCGGCGGCATCCGGCGTTTCTCCTTCAATCATCAGGCCTTGCCTGGTCGGCTCTATCAGTCGAATGTCTTCTACCCAGGTGGGCGAACCTTCAAGACCGAACTGGGTCAGGTCATTGGTTAAGTCGGCGCAGGAGAGTTCCTCAACGGGCTTCTCTCGTTGGGCCGCGCCCCTCTGTCCCCGTACTGGCAACGTCCTCGGTCTGCATACTCCTTCCGTCCCGCACACCTACGGCGGGCAGGGAGCACTCGATACCTGGTAGCCTTCGTCGGTAATTCGCTCGGCGACAATAAGTCCCGCGCTGTCCGCGCCCGGTATCGTACCCAGACTTTCTGACCGGCTGATGTGGGGCAGCCCAGCACTTAATTCGGCCAGTTCCTGGCCCCCTGTCCCGGTTTCAACAGTCGTCACTCGGCTGTTTCGTCGTCGTTCGCCCGCATACGATCAGATCGGTTTTTCTTTCTTTTCTCCCGCGCAATACCAACAGCGCGCGGAGCGGTTGCCCGCGTGTCTGAGCCTGCAGCGCACGATCACTCAGCAGATGCTGGCGGTCTGCGCCCAATGCCATGCAGGTTACAGGCCCTCGCGAGCCTGAGGGGTCCCCTGGAGACGGCAAGCCCTTCATCTCCCGGCTCGGACTTTTCAACTCACCGCCCGAACCAGCGGCCCAGGACGTCTAAGAAGGCGTTACTCTGACGGGACGCCATCCCGCACGATGGTCGTGGCTCATATCGAAGTGATCTTGAGACCACGGCACGTCATTTCACACAGACTGCGTCTTCATTCAATTGCTCCTGAATTGGGGTCGCATCGGTGGTGGATGATGGACGTACAGGCTTTATAGTCAGTCACTCCCGGACACTCCTTCCCAGCTTCCGCGCATTGGTTTCGTTGGTAGACGTTGCAAGGGCCGGACTGAGTGTACGGGATAGCGGGGCGGATTGGTGATTTGCTTGATGAGTGTCCAAACGGTCAAGTCCTGGAGAAACGTTTACTCTCATCATTTCCGGAGAGCGAAGGAGCAGGGAGGGCGAGTCTTACGGCCGCGCCAACATTCCAGACGTTTTTCTCGTCCCCGAGCAGCGGTTCTCCCGCTCGCAGGCAGGTGTCGTACCCAGCGGCAAAAAATCCAGTTACACGTCCCGACCGTAAAACGTCTCGTCGTTGGTTCACAGTCACACCGAAAGACTTGCTTGGCCCCTGGTGGCGACACTTTCTCGGGGCTTAGCTTCATCACCGGTTGACCGTCGTAGCAGACAGCTGTAGGACATCTGTCGTGTCAATAGGGAGCGTCGCAGATACTCACCTGTCGTTCCCACTGCCAACGGTCTATGGTTCGCACCTGCCTTGACCAGCCTTTCTATTATTTTTTCGTGATGTCGTCGATCCCTGCGCCATTGACGACGATCCTGACGTGTGCATCAAGATCGGCATCGTCGAGGATACGGCGGACCTGCTTGCTCAGCTCCAGGTAGTCACCCGAATCCAGCCTGACGCCTACCAACCGGTGCCCGGAGGCCTCCAGCTCTTTTGCGACCTGCACGGCATTGTAGGCGCCCTCGATGGTGTCGTAGGTATCCAGCAGCAGAATAGTGCGTTGGGGGAAAGACCTGGCATAAGCGCGGAAGGCTTCAATTTCGGTGGGATAGGCGGTAATGATGGAAATGGGCCCCTCGTGTACCTGTCCGGATGGCATGCCGTACCGAAGAGCTGCCATAACGTTGCTGGTGGACTGGAAACCCATCATGTTCCGGCCCTAGCCATGTTCAGGTCTCCATCTACCCCGGGGGCTCGGCGGGCGCCGAAGTCGGAAATGCCGCGGCCCTGGCCGGCCCAAACGCAGCGGGCCGCCTTGGTGGCCTGCAAGCTCTGGAGGTTAAGCCGGTTGATTATCAGGGTTTCCACCAACTGAGCTTCGATGATGGGGGCGGTCACTTCCAGCACCGGTTCATTGGCGAAGAAGATGCGGCCCTCGGGGATGGCCCTCACGCTACCACCCAAACCAAAAATCCGGTGACGCATCCGTCGACCACGCGCGAAAATAAACCAATCCAATAGAACATTCCGCTGCAGACCCTGTGTACAAAAACAAAAAAAAAAAAAAGCAAAATCGGAAAAGCCCTAGCAATATAAAAATAAGAGAAAGTAGCAAACAACGGCCGCACGGGTGAACCACAAGTGGCTCGTGCCTACGATGTATATACTCGCAGACCGCGTGAGTCAATCTTCGCGGTGCGCCCTGAACCAACGCTATCAGATATCACAGGAGTAAAGCTAGGCCCGTATTAGGATGGCGGTCATGACGTGCACAAACACACTGACGTGTAAGGTGGTCCCATTCACTCAACTGTTGAGAGTGGCTGGAGTCGATAGTGGACATCAGCAAATGACATACGTAACAATCACACCACTACACGCCCCAGTCAGGCGGTGGATGGGAGCGGACAAGAAGCGTCTAATAAGAAAAAACGTCGCTACCATAATTCTAGAATATGTTTGAAGGAGTGTTGATCCGATGGGGGTATCGTGCCTGATTGGAGTGTGGCGTCCCTGGTGTGAGTCTGTCGTGGAGCGTGCATCCTACAACACCTGCGGGATCGGTCAAGCCAGAGTTTGGGTTTTTTTGTGGGGCGAGACGGAGTACTGTGTGTTATACATTCATGAGAATCAGTAATTTGTGAGACACGGTGTGCCGTCCGTCCTCACAGTATTTGCCAACATGGCAGAACAGCGCATGAATCTGGACTGAAAACCATTAAGGTTCAATTTGACACGCTTGGTTACCTTGTTTATTATAAGCGCACCTGCATCAGTCAAAAACTGAACGGTTAAAAACTGAATAGAAGTCTGGAACCCTTATTCAGAACGGCAGAGGGAACGGCCCGATGAAGCCAAGCAACCAGCCTCGGCGAAACTCGCTGAAGGCAAGGTGCTAAATCCGGCCTCTCCCCGGATTGTGGGGAGTGGAAAGATGAGGGAGCTACAAGAATTGTGTGCTTCTCTCATTGAGAAGCTTTTTTATTGCCCGGAAAATACCGGGGGAGACTTCAGCGTTGAACGAAATACGCCCAATCCATTGGGATGACGGCATTCTTAAACTCCTTGACCAGACCCGCTTGCCTGTGGAGCAAGTTGTGGTGGAGTTGGATGACTATCGTGGGGCCGTAACCGCCATTCGAGATATGCAGGTTCGGGGCGCGCCCGCGATTGGTGTGACGGCGGCCTACGCCGTAGTAATGGCAGCCAAAGAAGTCGCAACCGATGACAAGGGTACTTTTCTGGACAAGGGCAACTTCCTGGTCGGTTTGCAAGAAGCCGCCCAGGCAATCAGCGCCGCACGGCCCACCGCTGTAAATCTCCAGTGGGCGGTTCGCAGGATGCTGGAAGTGGCAGAATCTGAACCGGACTTGTCCAATATGGTAAACCGGCTCCTGGGCGAGGCCAAGCTGATCCAGGAAGAAGACGAGGAGATAAACCGGCGGATGGGAGATTTCGGCAAGTCTCTCATGCCGGACGGGGGTTCGGTACTGACCCACTGCAACACCGGGGCCCTGGCTACTTCGGCTTTCGGAACGGCCCTTGGAGTAATACGGGCAGGCTGGGAAACGGGCATGAGGTTCAAGGTCTTCAACACTGAGACCCGTCCATTTCTCCAGGGCGCCCGCCTGACGGCATGGGAATTCCAGCAGTTGGGCATTCCGGCGACGCTGATTGTGGATTCGGCCGCTGGCATACTGATGAGGCAGGGAGACGTCAGTTGCGTTATAACCGGGGCCGACCGAGTCGCGGCCAACGGCGATACAGCGAACAAGATAGGCACCTACTCCCTTGCCGTGCTGGCCAAAGAGAATGGGATTCCCTTCTATGTGGCCGCGCCCACCAGTACGGTTGATTTGAGCATCCCTTCGGGAGACGAAATTCAGATCGAGGAACGGGCGGGGTCGGAAGTGACCCACTTTCAGGGCGCGCCTACAGCCCCGGTTGGCGTTGAGGCGTTTAATCCTGCCTTTGACGTTACGCCGCATCGCTACATAAGCGCCATCGTTACCGAGAATGGGGTTGTGCGAGCGCCCTTTGTGGAAGGCCTGAAGCTGGCCTTGGGTGGACCCTAACACCGGCGTCCTGGGAATAACCGGAGTCTTAAGGAGATAAATGCCTGCTCCCGACCAACAAACCCGGCGCCGCATGGCGAGCACCGGACTGAGCGTTTGCGACGATGCAAGAACATGCAACGGCTACGTAATTTATGCCCCGATGAGCGGCAGCGGCCAGGTTTACCTGATAGATGGGCAGGGCAAGGAAACACATCAATGGAATTTGCCCCATCCTCCGGGTTTGTACGGGTACCTGTTGCCCAATGGCAACCTGTTCTACGGCGGAAAGACCCGGGACGAGACCTGGGAGCGATTTCCCTCCTGGAAGCGGTTCAAGGGGGGCGCGATGCTGGAAGTGGACTGGCAGGGCAATGCAGTTTGGGAACATTACGACCCGGAGCACCACCACGACGCGCGTCGCACCCCGGAAGGAGGCGCCATTTACCTGACGGTGGAGTTGATGGATCCTGGCCTGGCAAGCAAGGTTCAGGGCGGAGTTCCCGGAACGGACGCCGAGGGTATGTGGGCTGATGTGATAGTTGAAGTGGACGCCGACGGCAATCGGGTGTGGGAGTGGCATGCGGCAGAACATTTGGACCCCGACCGCCACGTCCTTACATTCAATGACCTGCGGGATGAATGGAGCCACGGCAATACGGTAGCGCCCCTGGATGGCGACCGGGTAATGTTCAGCTTCCGCAATATATCAACGGTTGGAATCATCGACAAGAGGTCGGGGGAAATTACCTGGCAACTGGGCGATACGGTCTTGGCGCAGCAGCACGACCCCAATTTGCTGGCCAACGGGAACTTTCTCATTTACGACAACGGTTCCCACCGGAAGCATACTGGCCTGCCCTTCTCCAGGGTAATCGAGGTTAATCCGGCCACCAACGAAATCGTGTGGCAATACCAGGACTCGCCGGCTTACAACTTTTTCAGTCCCTATATTTCGGGGGCCCGGCGGTTGCCCAACGGAAACACCTTGATTACCGAGGGCATGTTTGGGCGAATTTTCCAGGTGACTCCTGAGGGCGAGGTGGTCTGGGAATTCATAAATCCTTACTTTTATGCAGACGCCGAGGGCCAGGTAGTGAACCGGGTATTTCGGTCCACTTTCTATACGCCCGAAGAAGTGCCCAATCTCTAGGAGTATCAATGCCTGACCAGGAAGCTACCATTGGAGTAATTGGCGGCAGCGGCCTCTATGACATGGACGGGATGACCGATGTCCATTACATAGACGTAGATACTCCTTATGGTAAACCCAGCGACAGTGTGGTGGTGGGCACCCTGGAGGGAACGAGGGTCGCTTTCCTGCCGCGGCATGGCAGAGGCCATCGCATAAACCCAACAGGCATTCCGGTGCGGGCCAACATTTACGCCCTGAAAGTCCTGGGAGTGCAGCGACTTATTTCCGTCAGCGCTGTGGGTAGCCTCAAAGAGGACTTTGCCCCATTGGACCTGGTGGTTCCGGACCAGATTATCGACCGTACTCGGCAGCGTCACAATACGTTCTTTGACGAAGGCGTAGTTGCCCACGTGGGTTTTGCGGAGCCCTTTTGCCCCGGTGCCAGCAGCGTTATCGCCGCTTCCGGTCAGGAAGTCGGTGTCACCACCCACCTGGGCGGGACGATGATTGTCATGGAAGGGCCCGCCTTCTCCACCAAAGCCGAGTCATTCATGTACCGTTCCTGGGGAGCGGGCATAATTGGCATGACCGCGCTACCGGAAGCCAAGCTGGCTCGGGAAGCCGAAATGTGTTACGCCACGATGGCATGGATTACCGACTATGACTGCTGGCACGAGTCGGAAGAAACAGTGACGGTAGAAATGGTGGTCCAGAATTTGCTGCAGAACGTGGCCCATTCCAAGGAAATGCTGCACAAGGTGATTCCTCAGTTGGTGCCGTCAGAGAACTGTGGCTGCAATGCGGCTTTGAAGGATGCCATCATCACCGACCCCCGCGGAATCTCGGAAGAGACTAAACATAAGCTGAGGCCAATTGTTGGCAAATATATAAACTAAACCCCAATTCCTGAATAAGGGAAAAATGGAGGGGGTTTCGATTTTCGAAGGAGGTAATGATTATGCCAAGGCGAGAACCCGGCGAACCCTATTTCCGGGTAGATTCCGACGAAGCTCATTCTATTCTTGACGGAGACGCCGAAGGAACAGTGGTAGTCGACGTTCGGCGGGACGACGAATGGATTACGGGCCACATATCCGGAGCCGTACACATTCCCATTGACGACTTGCCGGACAGAATTGACGAGGTACCCAGGGACAAAAGGGTCCTGTTTATTTGTGCAATGGGTGTCCGAAGCGGTTTGGCCTGTGAAGTGGCGTTTTCCATGGGATATGACACCGAGAACCTGTACAACATCGAAGACGGCACGCCGTCGTGGATAGCCGGTGGTCACCCAACCTCGTATCCGGGCTACGCCTAGGCCAACCGGCGTAGCGGAAATTTGAACCAATAAGGAGTTTACTTTTGGCTTTACAAGAAACCAGGGGAGACGTCAGGGACTTGTCCCTGGCCAAAGGCGGCGTAAACCGCATTGAGTGGGCAGAAAGAGAAATGAGAGTGCTCCGCATTATCAAGGAGCGGTTCGCGCAGGAAAAGCCTTTGCAAGGGCTGCGCATGGCGGCGTGCCTCCACGTTACGTCCGAGACAGCCAACCTGGCCATAACCCTTAAAGAGGGTGGGGCCGACGTGGTTCTCTGCGCCAGCAATCCGCTGAGCACGCAGGATGATGTGGCCGCAGCACTGGTCGGCGAATATGGCATCCCCACCTTTTCCATCAAGGGAGAGGACAACAACACCTACTACCAGCATTTGAGTGCTGTCCTGGATCACAGACCGCAATACACCATGGACGACGGGGCGGACCTGGTCAGCATGTTGCACCGGGACCGTTCAGACTTGCTGTCAAACGTGGTCGGAGGCACCGAGGAAACCACTACAGGAGTAATTCGCCTCAACGCAATGGCCGCGGACAACGCGCTTAAGTACCCAATAATTGCCGTAAACGAAGCGGAAACCAAGCATTTCTTTGACAATCGATATGGCACCGGGCAGAGCACCCTGGACGGCATCACCCGGGCCACCAACATTCTGTGGGCCGGTCGCCGTGTCGTAGTCGGCGGTTATGGCTGGTGCGGACGCGGCGTTGCTTCGCGCGCCCGTGGCATGGGCGCCCACGTAATCGTAACAGAGGTAAACGCGGTCAGGGCACTGGAAGCGGTGATGGACGGTTTCACCGTGATGACCGGTCTGGAAGCTGCCAAAGTTGGCGAAGTGTTCATTACCGTCACCGGCGGACTGCACACTATCAGCGGCGATCATATGGCAGTGATGTCCGACGGCGCGATCATTGCAAACAGTGGTCACTTCAACGTCGAAATTGACATCCCCGCACTGGAGGCGATGGCAGTCAGCCACCGGGAGGTGAAGCCCTACGTCGAAGAATACACCACAACTGATGGGCGCCGGCTTTATTTGCTGGGCGAGGGGCGCCTGATCAATTTGGCTGCCGCTGAGGGTCATCCATCTGCGGTTATGGACATGAGCTTTGCGAACCAGGCCCTGAGTGTGGAATACCTGGTCAAGAACCACGGAAATATGGACCCAGGTGTCTATGTTGTTCCTGTTGACACTGACCAGGAGGTTGGCCGCCTCAAGCTGGCGTCCATGGGCATTGCAATAGATTCCTTGACGGCAAATCAACAGCGGTATCAAGAAAGTTGGGAAGAAGGGACCTAACCGGGCTTGGAAACCAGCTTAGTTCCCCAAGAGATTGAGTGGGCGGCGGCGCAGACCGGATGGTTCAATCGCGATTTTAGGAAACAGCCGGCCGCTACCCTACCTAACGGAGGATTAACCCATGCCAATACAATTCATGACTTCCCCCAAGTATCTGTTGACTTCTGAATCGGTGACCGAAGGCCACCCGGACAAGCTGTGCGACCAGATTTCTGATGCAGTGCTGGACGCGGCTCTGTCCGGCGACAAGATGAGCCGTGTCGCCTGTGAAACCGTTGCCACCAAGAATCTGGTGATGGTTACCGGTGAAATTACGACGGGGTCTAACCTGGACTTCAATGAAATCGCCCGGCAGGTGATGAAGGACATCGGTTATACCGACGTCAAATATGGGCTGGATGGAAATTCCTGTGGCGTGATAGCCCACGTCAGCCAACAGTCACCGGACATCAGCAGCGGTGTAACTACTTCGTTGGAGCACCGTGGTGAATCGGAAGCTGATGCCCGACGGGCCACCGGAGCCGGCGACCAGGGGATGATGGTCGGCTTTGCATGTAACGAAACCGAGGAACTGATGCCTTTGACCGTGGACCTGTCTCACCGGCTGGTGGAACAATTGTCCAAGGTGCGAAAGGACGGGGTGCTGCCTTACCTTGGTCCCGACGGCAAGTCCCAGGTTACTGTTGAGTATCGCCACGGCAGGCCACACCGGGTCGATGCCGTCGTGATCAGCACGCAGCACGAGGACCAGAACGATCGAGAGGCATTTACCAAGCAGCTTCGGAAGGACATAAGGCAGCATGTCATTGACCCTATAGCCGGCGAGTACATGGACGATGACACCAAGATTTACGTCAACCCCAGCGGCTGGTTTGTCGTGGGTGGGCCGCAGGGTGACACCGGTCTAACCGGCCGCAAGATTCTAGTGGACACTTACGGCGGCATAGCCCGGCATGGTGGTGGCGCCTTCTCCGGCAAGGATCCCACGAAGGTGGACCGTTCCGGAGCCTACGCCGCACGTTACGTGGCCAAGAACCTGGTTGCCGCCGGTTTGGCCGACCGGGTTGAGGTCATCGTATCCTACGCCATCGGTGTTGCCGAGCCCATTTCCGTTTCGGTTGAGACCTTTGACACCAACCACCTGGACAACGACCGTATTGAGGACCTGGTCCGGGAGAACTTCGACCTTCGCCCCGGCGCCATTATTGAGGACCTCAGCCTGCGGCAGCCTATTTACCGCCAGACGGCTGCTTATGGACATTTCGGCCGAAGCGATATGGATCTACCCTGGGAGCGTACCGACAAGGCTGAGATGCTTAGGAAGAAGGCAGGTCTTTAATCCGCATCGGTTCAGTCCTCTTAGATCGAGTATAGGACTTGGATAACAACTTCCCTCACTCTGGCTTTGTCGATTCCGGCAGGGCCAGAGTGGGGGATTTTATTAGGAACAAGGGGGAGGAAATATGACCACTCCCATTAAGTTCGGGACCGATGGTTGGAGAGCCCTGATCGCAGAGGACTACACCTTTGCCAATGTGGCACGCTGTGCCCAGGGATTGATTGACTATCTGCTGGAAACAGGGATGGCTGACCGTGGTCTGGTGGTAGGTTACGATACGAGGTTCTTGTCCCGGGAATTTGCAGAAACGGTTGCCAGCGTATGTGCCGGAAATGGTGTGCGCGCTTTTCTGACGCAGTACACAGCTCCCACGCCCGTTGTAAGCTTCAGTGTCTTGGCACAGCAGGCTGCTGGAGCCGTTATCATCACTGCCAGCCACAACCCGGGTAACTGGAACGGGTTCAAGTTCAAGCCCGAGTATGCCGGCAGCGCCACCGACGAGATTACCAATCGACTGGAAGAGAGAATCGAAGCTGTCGAGACACCAAAGTCTCATCCGCTAGCAACGGCGAGAGAAAAGGGGTTGGTGCAGGATTTTGACCCCATGCCGGCTTACCTGGAACGAGTGGCCTCGCTGGTCGATCTGCCTTTGATACGATCTGCGGGCCTGAAAGTGATGGTTGATGCCATGTTCGGGGCAGGAGCGGGCTACTTCCCCAACTTGATTGCAGGAGGACAAACCACAGTTGCTGAACTCAACGGATACAGAAATCCGGCATTTCCGGGCATGGACCAGCCCGAACCGATTGCCCATAACCTCTCCACTCTCTTGGCGCAGATCCCGGCGGCGGAAGCTTCAGTTGGCATTGCCCTCGACGGGGATGCTGACCGGGTGGGCATAGTTGACGAAAAGGGCAACTTCATAAGTACCCTCGAGGTCTTCTCACTTCTGGCCTACTATTTGCTGGAATACAAAGGGCTAAGAGGTCCGATAGTTAAGGGAATAACCTCGTCAATAATGCTGAACAAGTTAGCCGATCGTTATGGCGTGGCCGTTCATGACATGAAGGTTGGGTTCAAAAACATCGGGCCCAAGTTTACGGAAGTTGACGGTGTGATGGGCGGCGAAGAGAGTGGCGGGTTCGCCTTCCGAGGCCATATACCCGAACGAGATGGAATCCTTAGCGGTCTTTACATACTGGAATGCATGGCTCGCACCGGGAAGACTCCGTCCCAGTTGATTGAGGAGTTGTTCTCCATCGTCGGCCCCCACTATTACCATAGACGTGACGTTGCCTTAGAATCCTCAAAGAAACCGGAGATCGCGTCCAGGATAGAGTCAGACCGGTTGACCGAACTGGCAGGTTTACCCGTCAGGGGGTCGGATGATATCGACGGCAAGCGCCTCTTCTTTGATAACGCCTGGCTGGCATACCGGTTTTCCGGCACCGAACCATTGCTCCGGATTTATTGCGAAGCGGAAAGCGCCGAGTTCGTAGACCGGCTTCTGGACGCTGCCTCAGAGTACCTTGGAGTATAGAAGGCGGCGCTTTTGACCATTTAAGGGACGTGTCTATCGCACGTCCTTTTATTTTTTCGGCGTTGTAGATGGCTTCTTGACGCGCAAAGATGATAATTTGGGCTATGGGCTTCCCTGCCCCGAGCAGACCTATCATGATGGTCTATCTTGCTTCCCTTTTCAAAAGCTATAATAAATGTAGGTAACTTGATTCTGGAAGGTATATGCAGTGTCCGCGATTGGTGTGAAAAGCAACTTAAAGGGATACATAACTGCGGCCCTGGTGGCTGCGGGATCGATTTTGGTGGCGGTTATTGGGTCCCAAACCATTGGCAGCAGCACAGACATTGACTTTGTGAATCTGTTCGTGGAGAGGCTTTCCGGCCGGTCGGGCAGTTTCCTGGGTGGACTGGTTGGCGCTACGTCCCTTTTTGCCTTTGCCGCCGGGATGGCCTCGGCCGTCAATCCCTGCGGTTTTGCCATGCTGCCGGCTTACCTGGGGCTTTACTTGAGCTCGGGAGCGTCCGAAGAAGACCGTCCGGGGCCTCTCAGGCAACTGGCACAAGCGCTCCTGGTGGGTGCGGCTGTAACTCTGGGATTTGTTGTACTGTTCGGCTTTGCGGGAACCCTTATAGGGTTAGGAGCAGCCTTCGTTGTTAGCTATATACCGTGGATTGGTCTTCTCATCGGGGTGCTTCTGACATTGACTGGGGCCTGGCTAGTAGGAGGGGGCAAGTTATATACGGGAATAGCTGCCCGGGCTGCCTCCAGAATCGGTGATCCCGCTCAAGTGAGTTTCAAAGGGTATTTCCTGTTCGGACTAAGTTACGGGACCGCTTCCCTGAGTTGTACACTGCCCATTTTCCTTGCTGTGCTCGGCCTTACCGCTTCAGACGCCGGCTTCTTTAACACTCTGGCGAATTTCCTTCTATTCGCCGCAGGAATGGGCCTTGTAATACTGGCTCTGACGTTAGGCATAGCCTTTTTCAGGGGCGCAATGGTGGGTGGGTTGCGCAGGGCCCTGCCATACATCCAGCCGATCGGATACTGGTTGATGGTACTTGCAGGCACCTACATCATCTTTTACTGGCTGACCATAGGGGGACTGATGGGACCGTAGTCCCCTATAGTTGAGGACACGCAAAAGCAAAACAAGAGAGTACGAGTTGGGGCAGTCAATAGTGACTGCCCCAACTAATTCCTCGAGAACTATGGTTCTGGACTAGCGCTTGGTGTACTGAGGAGCGCGGCGAGCTCGCTTTAGACCGTACTTCTTGCTTTCCTTAATACGGGAGTCACGAGTGACGAGGCCGTGCCGTCGCAGTGTTGGCTTCAGATCCTCGTCAAACACTATCAATGCCCGCGTGATGCCGTGCCTGATGGCCTCAGCCTGGGCATTTACACCACCACCAGTTACCTTGACGACCAATTGAAACCGGTTGGTGGTGTTCGTTACCCTGAAAGGTTCATTGATGACGACTTGCCAAGGCAACCAGTTGAAATAGTCTTCAACCAATTTCCCGTTGACCAGCATCGGTCCGCCGTCAGAGTTGGGGTAAAGCCGTACCCTCGCGATAGCCCTCTTGCGCTTGCCTGTACCATAGAAATACTGTTGCTGAGTTTCCGCCTGCACCAAAGCTGTTAACCGTCCTTAATTTCCTTCTCTTTGTTCCGATAACTGTCCAATTTGCGCCTCGTGGGGGTGAGAATCTCCGGCGTATACTTTGAGGCGCTTCAGCATCTCCCGACCCAGCTTGTTTCGTGGCAGCATACCTTTTACGGCCAACTGCAACACCCGGTCGGGATGGGATTCCAACACGTCCCGGAGAATAAAGCTCTTGAGATTCCCGACGTAACCGCTGTGGCGGTAGTAGGTCTTCTGCAGAAGCTTATCACCCGTTATCCTGACTTTATCCATGTTTACCACGACCACATGGTCGCCGGTTAGGACGTGAGGCGTGTAGGTTGGCCGATCTTTGCCCTGCAGGGCAACTGCCACGTCCCGGGCCAACCGGCCCAACGATTGTCCTGTGGCGTCTATCAGGCGCCATTTTTGTTCGACCTGTCCAGGCTTTGGAAAGTAAGTGCTAGTTCTCTTCATGATTATTTTCGACCTGTGCCCAAGAATTTCAATACGTTACCTCCCGGAGCCATAAGCCCTTGGCAGGCAGAGTCGGTATCGAATTGATTGCTACTCCATCAATACTAACTTGTTGACCTCTCAATATGGTCCTGAACGCATCTCGTGGCCAGTTTCCCTTGCCAATTTCAACGAGGACGGCGTTGGTTCTTCGAATTTGGTGCTGCATGAAGCCACTGGCTTCACACGTGATAATCACCAAATGTTCGTCTTCTATCGCTGCCGCTACGTTCCAGCGGTAAACCTCGCGCACTGCGCTCTTCTCGACGGGATGACTCGGCGCTAGCGGACGAAAATCGTGGATTCCAACCAAGTGCTGAGCCGCCAGGTTCATCTCATCTATCTTTAAAGGTTCCCGGATCCAATGGTAGTGCCTTTGATATAAAGGTGAAGGGAGCAGACGGTTCAAGATTCGGTACTGGTAAATGCGAGTCTGCGCTTCTTTCCTGGAATGGAAATCGTTCAGGGCCTCGCAGGCTTCAGTAATCCGAATGTCCCTTGGGAGATAGTAGTTGAGAGCGCCAACGAAGGTCTCCGTCCTATATTTGCTCTCAGAAATAAAGTCAACCACCTGACCCATTGCGTGTGCTCCCGAGTCGGTACGGCTGGCTCCTCGAATCCGTATGTCCTCTCCCGTAAACTCCTTCAGTGCTTTCTCTATTTCTCCCTGGATTGTGGGCTGGTTAGGCTGGAGCTGAAATCCTGCATAGTCGGTGCCGTCGTATTCAACAAGCAAGGCCAATCGGCGACCGGACCTGACATCAAGGGAGTTTACCTCTTTAAAGTTTCCCAACGCTTGTTGCAATGCGACTCCAGCCAGTGCATTTCACCTTACACGAGCTCAATAACCGCCATCTGAGCCCCATCGCCTTGCCGCGGGCCCAGTTTTACAATCCTGGTGTAGCCTCCCGGACGGGTCTCGTACCGGGGCGCCAAATCGTCAAATACCTTCTTCACCACCTGTTTATTAGGTATTTGTGCTAGTGCCAGGCGACGATGGTTCAAATTACCTTTCTTACCGTGGGTTATCAGTTTTTCTGCGACGATCCGGGTTTCCTTTGCTTTTGCGAGCGTGGTCGTGATGCGCTCGTGGCGGATCAATTCGCAAGTGAGGCCTCTCAGCAGGGCCTTTCGCTGGTCTTTATACCGGCTCAGGTTACGGCCGGCCACTCGATGGGATGCCATTGTCTAGGAAGCCTCCTCCTCGTCGTCATCAAAATCGTAGTCCAGATCGTCTTCAAAGTCCTCTTCGGTGCCGGCATCATCTGTGATGGCGACGCTCTCAAGGGCTCCGAGGATATCGCTGCCGGGCTGTGCAGACTGGACTATTGTAATGCCATCCAGCCCTCGATCTTCGCCGTCGCTATCGAATTCGTCCAATATACCAGCGCCGACCGGACCCAATTCAGAATCCTCCTCTCCGGAACTGGAAGCCACTCCCTGTTCGGCCAGCTTGCTGCGCAATTCGGTGAGAGACTTCTCACCGAAATTCCGAATTTTGAGCAGTTCATCATCGGACATTTCCAGGACTTCGCCCACCCTTGTTATGTGGGCTCGCTTCAAGCAATTCAGCGTGCGGTGGGATAGATCCAACCTCTCAATGGGGGTTTGGTAAGTCTCCGGAGATAGGCTGAGACTGGGCCTGCTGAATGTGCTGACGCCGCCACCCGACAGATTCTTGAACAAAAAGAAGTCGTCTACCAAGGCTTCGGCGGCTTCACCCAGCGCGTCCAGGGGAGCGATTGTACCGTCCGTCCAAAGTTCCAAAACCAGTCTTTCGTAGTCCGTTCGCTGTCCAACCCGGGTGGGTTCCCTGGTGTAGTTGACCTTCTTGACCGGGTTGAAAACGGCGTCAACCGGCAGCACGCCCACCTGCATGCCGGCACTACCTTCAGACTGGGCCGCTGGACGATAGCCCAACCCGGATTCCACATTGAATTCAATGGACAGGTTGGACTCTGTGCCATCCAATGTTGCCAAGTGCAGCTCCGGGTTGACAATTTCGAAGTCGCTGGAGGTGGCAATATCACCGGCACATACCCGGCCCTCACCCTGTACGTCCAACCGCATCTTGCCGGTGCGCTCACTATCGGCGTGGATGCGAATGCGCTTGATGTTCAAGAGCAGGTCCATCACCTCCTCTTTGACCCCGGTGACGGCCGTGTACTCATGCACCACGTTTTCGATCTTTACCCAGGTTATGGCACTGCCCTTGATGGAGCTAAGGAGGAAGCGCCGTAATGGATTGCCGATAGTGTGGGCAAACCCCGGCACCAACGGCTCCAGGGCGACCCTGGCGTATCCATCATCTGATTCCAGCACCGTAATGCTGGGTCTGATATTTTCTGATGCCCCTTCCAGCGGGGCCGATGGGAGGATATAAGTTTCCAACATGAGACTTACTACCTCGAATAGAACTCTACAATTAGCCTTGAATTGATAGACTGGGTCAAATCCTCGTCCGCCGGTAGCGCCACAACTTCCCCAATCATCTCATTGACATCCAAGGACAACCATGTAGGAACAGGACGCTTGGGAATGCCGTCGGTGCGCTCCCTGAAGAAATCGCTATTCTTTGACGCTTCTCGCCAAGAAATAGTGTCTCCGGCCTTGACCAGGAAGGAAGGAATATTGGTCTTCACTCCTCTGACCTGGATGTGTCCGTGCATAACCATTTGCCTTGCCTGCTTCCTGGAATCGGCAAACCCAAGAAGGTACACTATGTTATCGAGGCGCCGTTCCAGGGTACGAAGCAAGTTCGAACCCGTAATGCCCGGGCTACTGAAAGCATCAGCCATATAGCGTCGAAACTGACCTTCCATCACCCCGTAAATCTGGCGGGCCTTCTGCTTCTCGCGCAGGTGAACCCCATAGTCCGAAGGGCGGCGGCGGCGGTTGGTCTGGTTTCCTGGTGGAGAATGACGGCGTTCCACAGCGCACCTGGGGGTAAAGCACCGGTCCCCCTTCAAGAAAAGCTTTTCTCCTGCCCTTCGGCAAAGCCGACAGGATGGCCCTGTATATCTTCCCATAATCTTTCTTACTACACCCTTCGTCGTTTAGGTGGCCGACAACCATTGTGGGGAATCGGCGTCACATCTCGAATGCTGGTTACTGACAGGCCTGCACCCTGAAGAGACCTGATGGCCGCTTCACGCCCGGCGCCAGGCCCCTTGATTAGTACGTCAATCATGCGCAGTCCCATATCCATTCCCCTGCGGGCTGCCTGCTCGGCTGCTCTCTGGGCGGCAAAGGCCGTTCCCTTTCGGGAGCCTTTGAATCCAACTGTCCCGGCACTGGCCGACGCTATCACGTTTCCATCGGTATCAGTAATGCTTACCAGAGTATTGTTGAACGTGGAATATATGTAAGCGCGTCCTTGTGGAACAGTGCGACGCTCCCTTCTACGTGTTCTTGGCCTGGGCATAAACCTTCCTCAAATTAAAACAGGATTACTTCTTCCCACCGGTGCGGCGGCCGCGTCCGGCAACGGTCCGTCTCGGGCCCTTGCGGGAACGAGCGTTAGTCCGTGTTCGCTGCCCATTAACCGGCAAGCCTCTCCGGTGCCGCAGGCCGCGGTACGAACCAATTTCAATCAAGCGGCGGATGTTCTGGTTGACTTCACGGCGGAGGTCACCCTCGGTGAGATATTCGCGGTCTACGATCTCGCGAATCCGGTCCACCTGACTTTCGTCCAGTTCATTCATTCTTGGGGACATTTCCGAATCAATCCCGGCCTTCTCCAGTATTTCCGTGGCAATTACGGGACCAACCCCATAAATGCTGCGGAGGGCAATGTGAGCCCGCTTGCGGTCGGGTACGTCAACGCCAGCTATACGAACCATAACTTGATCCTCCTGAAATTCCGGTGAACTATCCCTGCCGCTGCGCATGGCGCGCGTTAGGACAGATTACCCTAACCACGCCCTTTCGCTTGATAACCCGGCACTTGTCGCACCTTGGTTTGACCGATGCACTAACTTTCATATTTGGACCTCCTGGCCTCCGAAAGAACACTATGCCGAAAAGCTCTTACTTAAACCGATATGTGATTCGACCCCGGCTCAAGTCATAGGGGGAAAGCTCGACCAGTACCCGGTCGCCAGGCAATACGCGGATGAAATGCATTCTAATCTTGCCTGAAACATGAGCCAAAACCTGATGGTCATTGGGAAGTTCTACCCGAAACATCCCGTTGGGGAGAGCCTCGGTAACCTTGGCCTCTACCTCAATAGCTTCCTTTTTCGGCATAACCCTCCTTGATTCAATACTGCCGATGCTCGGGGCAATCGGCATAATCCAGTTCACTAAGTATGCTTGGTTAGTATCTCTGGCCCGTCTTCAGTAATCGCAATGGTATGTTCGAAGTGGGAAGAAAGAGAACCGTCAGCGGTCACTACTGTCCAGTTGTCGTCGAGAATCCTGGTATGCCAATCGCCGACATTGAGCATGGGTTCAATGGCAATACACATACCTGCCCGCAGTAGTTGCCCTCGTCCTGCTTGCCCGTAGTTGGGTACATTGGGGGTCCTCATGCAAGAACCGTCCCACTCCGTGACCAACAAACTCGCGCACGACGCCATAGCCTCGGGCCTCGCTATAGGTCTGCACGGCGGCGCGACGATGTCCCCAATGCGATTCCCTGGCTGGGAAGCCTTTATACCCTCTTCCAGGCTCAACCGAGTGGCCTCCATTAAATCAATCGCTTCCTGAGTAACTGTCCCAACAGGAACCGAAACAGCGGCGTCACCTATGAACCCGTCAATGGTGGCTCCTACGTCCATCTTGATAATGTCGCCTTCTTTAAGCACTCGTTTGCCAGGAATGCCGTGAACTATCTCTTCGTTGACTGACGCGCAAATCGAGGCGGGGAAACCGCGATAACCCTTGAAGGTCGGCTTGGCGCCGTGGCTGGTAATTTCCTTGAAAGCAATATTGTCCAGCTCTCGAGTGGTGATACCAGACTCGACAGACCGCTTCAAAAGAGTCAAGGTCGCCCCGACAATGGCGCCGGCATGGCGCATTGCATCCAGTTCCTGGGCGGACTTTATGGTGATTCCGCCGGTGTACGGCGAAGCGGAGTTGGAAGCGGTGTCGACTTTGCCTTTGCGATTCATCTTGGCTATTGTACTCCCTATGGCGCCTATTGCAAACCAGAATTCTATCCGAGGTGAGAAGAAGTGTCCAGAGCTATAGCTTTCAAGGCTTCGCGATTGATGTCTTCGACTGGACCAACCCCCGATATTTCTACCAGCAATTCCCTCTGCCGATAGAAGTCCAGGGCCGGCGCCGTCTGTTCATTGTAAACGCCGATTCTGACCTGTATGGCCTCGGGTCGGTCGTCCTGCCTTTGATACAGTTCTCCACCGCACCTCGTGCAGGGAGGAGGCGAACTGAACTGGTAGTCATTAAGGTTGAACGGTGACTGACAGTCGCGGCACAAGAATCTCCCACCCAAGCGGCGTACCAACTCACTCTCGGGAACACTGACGAGCAAGACTGTGTCGAGAGATTTGGATTGTTCCTGAAGCGCCGAATCCAGAGCAACCGCCTGGTCCCGGGTTCGAGGAAAGCCATCCAGAATAAATCCCGAGTTTGAACCAAGTTCCGCGATCTTTTCCAGTACCATCTGAATGACAAGATCGTCTGGTACCAGGAGTCCCTGGTTCATGAACTCAGAAGCTCTGACCCCTATATGGGTACCCTCCTGAAGGTGAAACCGGAACAGATCTCCCGAGCTAATGTGGGCAATGTTCAATCGGTCTTTAAGCAATTGGGCCTGCGTTCCCTTACCTGCCCCTGGCGGTCCAAACAAGGCCATTCTAAGCGACGAAGCCACGAGTTACCTCAAAATTCCTTCATAATTTCTCATCAACAACTGGGCCTCCAATTGTCTCAAGGTGTCCAATCCAACACCCACCATAATCAAGAGACTGGTGCTGCTCAGCTGAATGGCCTGTACGTCGGTTACCAACGAGGCCAAATATGGAACAATGGCGACAAACCCGAGGAACAGCGCCCCGCCGGTCGTAATGCGGACTATCACGCGGTTAAGGTATTCCTGCGTAGGCCTCCCAGGCCTGATTCCCAGCACGAATCCGCCATTACGTTGCAGATTCTCGGACAGGCTCTGCTGCTGAAACACCACCAATGTATAGAAGAAGGTGAATATTACTACCAGAATAAACACCAACACCCAGTAGATTGGAGAAGTAGGATTGAACAGGTCGGCAAAAAATCTGGCTACATCTCCAATGGCTCCGGTGTTCGTAGCGAAATAGGTAGCAACTGTTCCGGGAAGGATTACTATGGAAAAGGCGAAAATCAAGGGGATCATTCCCGCTGAATTAATGCTCAGAGGTATGTAGGTGCCGCCGCTCTGGCGGTACATGCGACCTCCCCGGAAAATGCTGCGTCCGTACTGGACCGGAATTCTCCGGTGGGCCTCGTTGAAGAGCACAATCAGCGCGATAATCAAGACGCCAATGATGACAAAAAAGCCGATACCCAGAACATCCTGCCGATCCAAAAAGCCCTGAGTGATCAGGCCAGGGAACCCGGCCACGATACCGGCGAAGATTATCAGCGAAATGCCGTTGCCGATGCCTCTCTCAGTAATCATCTCACCGAGCCATACCAGAAACATGGTGCCCGCCGTCATAGAGATAATGGCAGCTACGGTGGGGAGCAGCGCGTCTCCGGAAAAGCCGACATTGGTGAGGACATTGCTTTGCTGCAGGAGAATCAACTGACCAAAGCCCTGAGCGACGGCAATAGGGACGGTAAGCCAGTGAACCATCCGGTTTATCTTGACCCGTCCAGCCTCTCCTTCTCTGGATAATTGTTGGAGTGACGGTATAACTGGCGTAAGCAGCTGCATTACGATGGACGCGGTAATGTAAGGGAATACCCCCAGCGCCACAATGCTCATGCGGCTTAATGCGCCGCCGCTGAAGAGGTCCAGAAAACCCAGCAACTGGTTGTTCTCGAACAACTCGTTGAGCTGAGCAGTGTTAATGCCTGGAATTGGTATATGGGATACAAACCGATAGATAGCCAACATCCCCAAGGTAAAGAGAATCTTGAACCTCAGGTCTGGTAGGCTAAAGGCGTCAATAGCGGCTTGAATTAGGCGTGGCCACCGCCCCCCCTGTGCCTCAGCCGAAATCATTTAGCTAAACTTCCTCCACTCTACCACCGGCCGCTTCAATCTTGGCTCGGGCCGAACCAGTAAACTTGTTTGCCACTACGGTCAACGCCATTCCCAGTTCCCCGTTGCCAAGAACCTTTATTGGAGATTTCAAATTCGGTATGACACCCCGCCGGTAAAGCAGTTCAGGGGTTATTCGTTCCCCAGCTTCAAAACCAGCCAAGTCCTCAAGCTTAACCAGAGAAAAATGGGTCTTGAACTTGTTATTGAAGCCCCTCTTCATGGGAAGACCTTTAATCAAGGGCAACTGACCACCCTCGAAACCGGGCCTTATACGATAGCCGGACCGAGACTTTTGGCCCTTCATACCCCGACCGCCGTAGCTACCTTGCCCGGCAGCATCCCCTCGACCCACACGCTTACGCGCCTTCCTGGCACCCGGGGAAGGAATAATTTGATGCTCCATCATGGTTGGATTCTCTCTCCTGGAAAATTTGCCCCGGGGCGACACCCTTTGCTTACCTGTGCCGCTTCCGGGGAAACTGTCTGGTCAGATATTTGGCGCCACTGAGCGCCCTGGAAATGTCCGCGTTAACCCTCAGGGATTTCCTCGACTGTTACGAGGTGGGAGACCTTGTTTACCATTCCCCTGATTGTAGGGGTATCGCCGTGAGACACGCTATGGTGCAAGCGACGCAACCCCAAGGCCTGCACTACTTTGCGCTGGTCCTTTGGTCTGCCTATGCAACTTTTAATCCACGTTATCTTAAGCTGGGCCATCTTATCACCTGTCTGATTCCGTCCTAGTCGGCGGATTTGTTGCCCAGGCGGCGAGCAAGTTCAATTTGAGGGTCCCGCAACCGCCGCAGGGCTTCCAATGTGGCTTGTACCGTGTTAATAGGATTTCGTGAGCCCAATGACTTGCCGACGACATCCCGTACGCCACCCAATTCGAGAATGGCCCTCATTGCGCCTGCGGCAATAATACCGGTTCCCTCGGGAGCCGGTTTGATCACAACAATGGAAGCGCCGACCTTAACCGTTATTTCGTGAGGGAGAGTGCTGCCCTTAATGGGAATCTTCACCATATTGCGCCGCGCAATAGCATTACCTTTTCTCACGGCGTCGGGAATGACCAAGGCCTTTCCCATGCCCGCTCCAACGTTACCATCGCCGTCGCCCACTACTACCAATGCGTTGAATCGCAGCCTTCGGCCACCCTTAACTACCTTGGCGATTCGGCGGGTATAAACTACTCTTTCGGTGAAACCGGAAGGATCCTCTTCGCGCTCGCGTGGTGGTCGATTTGGACGAGGCCTGTTTGCAGTAGTCACCATTAGAACTGAAGACCTCCCTCACGTGCTGCTTCGGCCAGAGCCTTAACCCTGCCGTGATACTTGTACCCACCCCGGTCGAATACAACCTTGGTAATCCCTTGTTCCAAGGCACGTTGGGCCAGCAACTGGCCCACCGCTGACGATAAGGCGGTCTTGGGCCGAATTGGTTGACCCGCCTCAGTATTGGCATCTTGGCTGGAGACCGCAACTATAGTCTTGCCTCCAGTGTCGTCAATTATCTGCGCATAGATGGAACGCAAGCTACGAAACACACAGAGCCTAGGCCGGTCCGGATTGCCGGAGACCTTCCTGCGTACACGGCGGTGCCGTACGTTCCTTAATTGTCGGGCTTCTCTGTCTCTGGGCATTTCCTATTAATTACTCCGTAAATTCGTCGAGTAGCGGAACTGTTAGGCCTTGCGAGCTGCCGCTTTGCCGGGCTTGAAATGGAGAATTTCTCCCTGATACCGAATTCCCTTTTCCTTGTAGGCATTGGGCGGGCGCACTTTCCTTACCTGAGCTGCCAATTCTCCGACCTTCTGCTTGTCGATACCACGGACATGGACGCGGTTGATTCCCTCAACCTCCATGGTTACGCCCTCAGGTGGCTGGATTTCCACCGGATGGCTGAAACCCACATTAAGGACAATACCCTCACCTGACTGTTGTACCCGGTAGCCGACACCCATTAATTCCAGTGTCTTGGTGTAACCGTCTGTGACGCCCACGATGGCATTGGCGATGAGGCTTCGAGTCAGGCCATGGAGAGAGTGATGAAACTTCCTTTCGGAAATGCGTTCCACCAGCACATTGCCATCTTCTACGAACCTTACTCGGGTAGGATAATTCTGGGTCAGGTTACCCCTGGGACCCTTTACAGTCATTCCCCCGTAATGGACCTCGACTTCCACTCCCACAGGAATGGGTATGGGCTTCCGACCAATTCTCGAGAGGGTCCTGCCCTCAGTTTGTTCTCTTTCCAGCGTGTTACCAGACATAACAGAGTAATTCTCCTCCAATGCCGAGTCGCCAGGCCTGGCGCCCGCCCATAACACCTCTTGAGTGGATAACTCAGGGCCACACCTAGCCCGCCGAATCCTCTGCATCGCGCCTTCCCGACGTAACCCCGGAGACCGGCTGCTCCCGCGCTGAGTCACTGAACAACCGTTTCCCTGCCGGCGATCGGCCCGATGCACTCGCATAGTGCAAACTGTTGTGGCTCAGCATACATAGATCCCTGATATACCCTGTTCTTCATAGATTGATGGCCACACGCAGCCTTGAGCTTGCGAATGCGGCACCATACTGATT